GCAGGAGATTTATCTGTTCTTCTGGCAAGCTATTTACTTTTCCATGAGAGAATCTGGGTTAGATCTCCTTGTGGAGCCCCAAAGTTGCTGTAAATTCAATTGCATTAAATGTCACTTTAGAGATGGTGTTTACAAACCCTTGATGAGTTTGTGTCATTGTTTTAAAGATAAACTTCTACTTTCCAGTAATAAACTTCTCTGAGTGATATATCGTTCAAGGATTAGGCAGCAGAGTTGTAGTTGATAAATGTTTGGTGGGTTTTTTTCTTTTTTTTTATTTGGTTCCCCCCCGCCAAGCTCAGTGGTTTTGGTGCTGTACTGTTGGAAATAAGGCATAAAATAAAATTAGTTCCAAGTCTGTCCTGTTCTGCTTGTGAGGCTTATTCTGTTTCCAGAATTTCCTTGGGTACTGCAATTTTGTATTGACTTCAGTGCTACCTCATGAAATCCTGTGCTCCCAGGTGTCATGCATGACAGCATCTGGTTCTGGACCCTGCAGCAGTGTATCAGCACCACTTCACTTCGTAGGTGAAATTCTTCCCTGTTGCATGTAGAAGCTTAGCACAAAATTAAGATGGCTTTATGTTTCATCTGTGCCTTCCAGACACCGGTCTCCTCTGGAATTGTCACTAGGGCAATTCAGAAGGACCTTCCCAAACAGCTACAGCTCTGTAATCTCAGTTATGTGTATTTCTTGCCGCTCTCATGCACCCATTCCTATCTTTAGTTATACACCCCGAGATGTATTTGTCTTCTCAAGCCTTTAGCTGCCTTTGCAGTGCTAGTGCTGAATCAGAGTTATATTATCAAAACACTGGCCAATGTACTGTAATAAAACACCTCAAGCCCTGTACCAACCCAGTTTGACAGCTTTTTACAGTCTAAGTGAGGTAATTTAAGGTACACTCATGTGTCTTCATGCTTAGTTTCTATGCTAAGAGATTCCCCACAATTTTCTGGGATGTAAAAGCCCATTCCCCTGGAGTTGAGAAGGTAAAAATCTCACTGAGTCAGTCATTGACATAATTCACAGTTACTTCTAGGCATACATAGCTGCAAAATTGTTTTCTCCCGTTATCTGAATATAGGCAAATAAAACCTCATTTCAGCCAGCTTTTTACATGACTTAGAATCAAACAGTTGTTTCACCAGCTTATATACCAGATTCTGGCTTGAGCCTGGTGGGTCCCTTATTAATACTTAAGCTAGGAAGAAAAATGAAGTATAGTGGGAATTATAGTCAGAAACCAGTAACTGTTTAAAGCCCCTTATTTTTCGGCTGGGTGGTTCAAAAATTTTAAACAAAACCAGATTTTTTTTTTAAAGGCTTTTTTTAAGCTTTTTTTTTTTCTTTTTTTTTAGAGGTGAAAGTACAATATAACAACAGTGAAACAAGGCTGAATTGTTCCAGTGATGCACAGCATTGCATAGTTCTTTTCATCCTTCTAGCATCTTGCAGATTTGGAGACCCTCTGCTCTTATGTTGTTTGTCACCAGTGTGAATGCCATTCACCTGAAAAGAGTTTAGCCTGCTTTGGTCAGGGTCCATGATCATCAAAATCAAGGCTGTGTGCTGATAAATCAGCACAGAGTTACCAGATATGATTCACTACTTTTCATTCTCAGTCTTCATATCAAAATGATCAAAAGTCCATCCTGATCTGAATGATTCCTGTTCTAGAGAAAGAGGAGGGTTGAATCTGTATGTGAGCGACTTCACTGATACCTCTTTACATGCCAGTATTCCAACAAACCTCCTTCTGGCAAGCCACTTAAGCCTAGGCTCGTCCTACTAATTTGAGATTTGTGTGAGCCCGTTGACAAGAATTGTCTGGATGCTCTTCCAGGACTTTGCCCAGTAAGTCCCAGGTTTGGCTTTGTTGAATGAGCATGAGCAATGACAATGTAAAAGGGTTGTTTCCCTGTGGATTAAGATCTTCCCTATCGCTTACTTTTTCCTGCTAGGAGCTGCAAAGTTTATGGTAAGTCTGGTAAGTCAATGTGAGCTCATGTTTCAGTCTTTTTCCCAATCATGGCAAGAATTAATTTTCTCATCCTTTTTCAGCTGCTATCTTACATAAACGTCTAGCACATAAATATCTTGAATTCTTCTTTTCCTTCGGAAAATATGTTTGATATCATGCAGTAGATTTAGAAAGTATTGCAATCAGGACACAGAGGCAGATTCTCAGATGGTGTAAATCCTGCAAATTTATTGTAAAAAGTATTATAACTTATTTTTGATTCAGTGATGTTTTATTTGGAAGGAATATGGCTGTTCTGAAGTATAATTTAATGTTCATTAATATTCTAAGGAAGAATGTTTTTGTATGTCTTTTTATCTTGACCACCCTACTACGTTTCTTCTATCAGGTTTAGACTGTATCTCTGTGTCATAGTTATTCCTTGTGAATTTCACACCTTGGTGAAATAAAAAAAAAAAAAAAAAAGAACTGGGAATAATATTTGGACAATATACAATCTGAGATGCTTAACTTGATAAGAAATCTTCTTCATGGGTTTATTTTGGGTATACTGAAGCACAGTAATGTCCACAACTTTAGAATGTTTCCATGGTGATATAATGCAAAATAAGGCTTCAAATGTGAATTTTGTAATTTAGTCATTGTTGATCTTAAAGTGTATTAGATTATCCAGAAATAGGAGGCCTTTAGAGCATCAGGCTGTTTAGGAACAAGTGGTGGATGGTTTTGGAGAACTTCTCTTCCTCCTTGGCATGTTTTTATGATAATTCAAATATTGGAGATAAATTACAACCCTACTGGTACTATACCAGAGACTTTATGTTTTGGAATTTATATCACTTTTCCTTTTAGACATTTAAACCACATGTCATTCTAGAAAAACGAGGACAGAGGGCCAACAAAGGAGTGATTTATTTTCAGTTAAAATACTAGCTACATTAAAACCACATGTTATTAAGTACTGTATAACCAAACCATGCTTATGACACCAACACTTGCTTAAAATGTTTCTTTTTTTTTCTTTCCCCCAAAAGCTTTGGCAGTGCATACATTAACAGACTTCACCTGAGCTGCACAGGACATTGACTATAATTTTCCCTTGATGAAACAAGTTATTAAAGGACCAGAGTACAAATAAATTCAGTTCCTTATTATTTTTCTCACATTTCTGGATGGTTGAACTTTTCTGTCCATTTTATGTAACATTGCAAGTCTGTGAATATCCCTCCTGCAATAACATAATATAATTAAGGTTGTTAAAGCTGAAATATAGTTTTTCAAAGTGAAAGAACATGTATTTTGGGCATTTTACCAACATGAACTCTCATAATGCTCCTGTGAGAAAAGTAAACTAATGCACAGAAGTAGTGCACATGAATCCAAGACCAGACGGGAAATCAATACAAAGATTAGAATTAAGGGGCCCCAATTTTGTTTTCAGGATGCAGATGCTGAGGACCAGTTTCTGTCCTCATTATGATACACTTCCACACCGGATTACCTAGGACTTGAAGGGAATTTTTTATGCTAATGTTGACAGATGAGTTGTCCATAGGTTGGTGGAGATGACCAGTGAAGGATTCATGCTGTACCAAGGACTTCCGCAGTTGCACCAAGCTTCCATGGTGATTCTGTGTGTGTGTGTGTCTGGCTGACACTGGCATACAGAGGGTGCTTGGGGAACTGGGAACTTAGCTGGCTCAGCTGAACGCTCCTGAGGACTTTCAGATGCCAAAACCCTGTAAAGATATGCTGATAATCAAATGGGGAAGTGAAAGTGGTTTTGCCTCACTGTTCAGATTCTGTTCAATGTACAACCTGCATGGACTGGAAAGCCTGTCCTTGTGCTTTTGAGTAACTGCATGAGCATTCATGGATCGCCACAACACCCCTGTCTCACAGGTAATCACTGGACAGTTTTAGCCCTAAAAGCAATCTAGCCAGTTACTGTCAAACGGTTCAGATCAGAAGCAGCAATTTTTTTATGTTTGTGTGTTTGAGATCATTCTAATTCAGATGTTACAGTCACATCTTGAAATCATTCATACTACCTTAAGGTTGCCTGGTATTCTCATTTCTTCTGAAATTGCTTAGCTCAAGTAGATCCTGGAGTATTGATTCTGCATCAGCAAAATGCTAAAATTTGTAGCAGCCTTAAGCAAAGAAAGGTAAAACAGTGTATGTTATGCGTCTTCTCTCAGTCCTTGTCTGCCTAATTGAAATAAAGAATATGTAGTAGACAATATAATTTATTAGACAATGGAAAGTGAACTGAATTAAAGCTATCTAATTTTCTACCTTGTCTTAGAAGGAGACCAGTACCAAGTAATGTAAGAGATGGTGCTAGTAATCACACAGTGGGCAAAAAAGGACCATGTGGTAGACTTGACATGTGCCATGTCTAAATCATAAACTTACACTAAATTTTAGCATAGTATGAATTAATGTCCACAATTATTGAATCACTTCCCCATTAAGCCCCTATAGCGTACAATATATTTTATTGCATTTATTTTATCAGCCTGGTAGGCACAGCTGTAGTATCAGTTGAGATCGCTACCTAACTGCAGTAGACGATGTGTAAACTCACAGTAGGAAATACAAGCCTCCTGATGCCTGCTTTGCCTTTCCTGAAGCTCTGGAAAGCTAGTGCTGCCACCAGCACTGGAAGAATATTGTGGGGCACAAGATAGCATCTATTCTATTGCTGTGTTAAATTCATAGGAGAAGCCTCATTTGGGCTTCTACCTTTTGGCAGCGGTTGGAGCAACAAGGTTGTCTCTCCAGGCATCTTTCCATCTCATTTCCCAGTTCTGGATTATTGCCTAGAAATTATTGTCTTTTACTGGTTTTCTTTCCTAAAAGTATTGCAAGTGATTGTACATTTTCCACTAATTATAATTCTGATTCTCTTTATGCGTCTCAGAACCTTCTTTCTTTTTCTTAATTTAGATTATCACTTATCTTTTCTTAGTATTGCATCATCCAGCTGATTTATCTTCTTCCTTTCTCTAGATGTTTCCAGATGTGTGGCTGAGAGGAAGTACACCCAGGAACAAGCTCGCAAGGAATTTCAACAAGTGTTTATCCCAGAATGCAATGACGATGGCACATATAGCCAGGTTGAAAATTTTTCATTCAGTATCTTGTATGGCCAGAAAGACAGAAGATGTGTGTTTGCAGAAATGAAGAAGAGACAAGTGTAATGAAGGGAAATGTAATTTCAAAAAGAAATTTAATTTGTGCTAAGGCTGATGTTAAAAAATGGAAGGAAAATTCATGTTTTGTGCCAAGTCCTTGTTTTTTTCAGAGTTGGCCAGCAAAAGAGTCAAACATTACCATTTTTCATGCAATACACTCCCTGTTTTTCTAGACTGAGGCAGCTGAGTCATTCTTGTAGCCCCCTGAATACTCATCAGATGGTAAAATGCTTGGAATTTCTGATCTGCTCCTGATTTGAACCAGAAATCTTGTAACCAGAGTCCATATCTTAGTGCTAAAGCATGAATCATAGAGAATTCTTCCCTATTCTCAGCTGAATTTCTGCAGAAGCATATGGTCTGACACTAATTTACTTAGGTTAGATCATGGAATTCAGAAGGGATGCAGTTAGAAGCTTACCCTGTGATAAGTATTCCAATCAACATCACCTTCTGCTGCCTCTGTACTGCATTTCTGTTGTGAAGTTGTGCAGAAGACAATCCTTCTAATTTCAAACATGGTGAGGGAAGTGACACTGGCCCTCAGGAAATACAATGCAATTGATTTCTGAGAGGAATTCAAAGAGTTTCCTTTCTGACAGCTTGGGAAATGAATAATGCTGGCAGAAGCACTCTGTCCCGCTCCTTCAGTGGGTGGAACAATATGTTCTCTATGTGGAAGAAAAATCGAGATTGCTTGCTTCGGTAAAAGTTTATCTGTCTCTTGAGGAACTTCATTGTGAGCTTTTCATAACACCTGCACCTCAGTCTTGTGAAATAGGGTATAAACAACCACATATTTCAATAGTTTTCTCTTCACTCGTTCTGAAGGACCTACTGCATTTTGCTTGAAATAAACTTCTTTATGCTGAAGAATTATGCTGTGGGATAACAGATATATGTCTGACAAATTGCACATGGTTCATCTCATTCCTGACAGGTTCAGTGCCATAGTTACACTGGATACTGCTGGTGTGTCACTCCCAACGGTCGTCCTATCAGTGGTACTGCTGTGGCCCACAAAACTCCCCGGTGCCCCGGTAAGACTTGTTTGGCTGGGCAAGTTATGACATTGTCTCATGAATAGCAGATTTATGTGGCATCTGATTAGACTTAAGGAGGAAAATTCTTCACTGGAAGAGTGGTTCACCTCAGAGACAGGTGCGGGCAGAAGCTGTGGATGCCCCATCCTTGAGCATTTGCAAAACTCAACTGGACAAGGTTCTGAGAAAATTTGTCTAACTTTTAAGCAGGCCCTGCATGAGGTCTGAAGTCACTGCCACCCTAACCCTCCCTGTGATTCTGTGGTCCATCTACTTTAATTATACTGTAGTATAATCTAGCTATTGAAAGGGGGTTTGCAGTCAAACTCATTGCCATGTGTATTGCCTTTTGTCTTTAATCAGGAAAATTAACAGGTTCACTGTTTTTTAGGAATTTGCTTCTGACCATCTTTCATTGACATTGATAATAAATATAAATCCCAAGTGTATGAACAGTTGCCAGAATTGCTATTCACCTTCCTTGAGGCTGAGAAAATTGCACAGAAATAGCTCTAAAAATACTTAAACTCTATGTATTGTATGCCTGTTTGTGCTGCAGCACTATTTTCTGTCAGAGACTGGAAAATAGCTTTGAAAAGCTAACCTTGTAATGTAAATGAAGCTGAAAAAAAAGTGGATTTGGGTCTTTGAGGGAATTCACCTGGTCCAATCTACTTCAATTGTTCAAGCACAATATTGATGCTTTTATATAAATAGGTGGAGGAAGGAAGAGACCACTGACAAAGTTTCAACAAAGACATAAAAACTTAATTCAGCTTCCAAGGTCTGTCTTGTTTAAATGATTTTGAGAATCTCCCATGCATCTTGCCTGTAGGTGAGCTTTAGCCAGAAAGAATACTTTTCAGACTAATCTTCTTGATCCAGTATGAAAAGTTACTGTAGAATAAGTTAATTGTGAAAAATAATATAAAATGCTCAGAAGCCTTAAAATAGAGAAAAAGGTGCATTCATTTTAGTGTAATTATTGTTTATAAATGAATGATATTTTCAGAAGACAATGGTTACGATTGCAGTTTTGTGCTTCACTAACATCAGTGAAAGAGGGGTAGTGCTTAGGAATTTGCTTCTGGCTGTCTTTCACTGATATTGATAATAAATATAAATCCCAAGTGTATGAACAGTTCCAGAACAAATGGCATTATTTTTGGCTCAAAATGTTGCTCAGTTAGTTGCTTTCACTTATAAAAATATTTGCTTCACCTCAATAACCCAAATATAAATAGGAAAAGCTCACTTTTTCCTATTAATATTCAGTATTATTGAGGAGAATCTGCAGTGTAGTTCCAGGTTAATTAATAGATTATTATTAGAATTATTCTATCACTACAGGAGCCAGACCTTAGTTCCTCTCAAAGCTATATTCATGCGTCTAGCAGATAAACTGCCAGACTACTTCAGCTTGGTTTTGGAGGACTGGGAAATTTTTTACAGAAATGCTAAGGAGAAGGTGATAGTAGCACTTGATCTTAATTTAGTAGCTCAGAGATAAATAGACTGCTTCAGGGCCCAGGTGAGTATGCAGAGTCTGATTTTGCTCCATGGGAGATCATGGGTAATTTTCCAGTTGTTACGAGACCCTTTGAGATCATCTCTGCACATTTCCTCCCCTGCTTGGATCAGTGCTCTCACATTTTACTACTCAATATATCCGTTTGTCCTTCAGGAAAGAAGTCCAGCTACAACAGTGTTGGGAAATAGATTTGAAATGCTAGGGGATTTTGCAGTGGTAGTGGCTAAGGTCTTAGTCTTAAGAGGTCTGGAGAAGTCTCATTCAGCAGAGAAGGCAGCTACAGATTTTCTCAGAACCTGATGTGGTATAATAAGGCAAAACTTTGCTCTTATATTGCAGAATGAAAGCCTGAAGTACAACTGCACCCTTCTCCCATTTCACAGTATATATTCAAAATTGCCATCTGTTTAGGATAACTGGTTTTTTTCCCCCCAGGACTGTTGATGTTTTCCAGATCACCATTGATTCCCTTTTGTACTTTTTTCTTTACTACCACTCTGCACAGGAATTACAATCAAAATATTAGTGGATATCCTGAAGTTGAGTAGATGTACTCCTGTCTTAACTAATATTTCAGGGATGCCATTTCTTCCAACACTGTTGTCCCTAGTCAGTCTAATACATGGTGTTGGTGCTAACCTTCTTGTAGGCATTGCCTTACTACTTTTTGACATTGCAGGCAGGTCTCCTGTAGCAGTGGCATTCTGACACCAGCATGTTGATGTGTTTTCATTTGCTTCTGAATATTCTGCAGACATGATGCTATAGCTATTTCAAAGACATTTATGCAAATTTATCAGTTTGCAATTACTAGACTTTTTTTTTGTACGGGATCACTTTTGCCACCTTTTTCATCTAGAGGAGAATGTGTGCAGAAAATCAAGATGGCAGGTAGCGCCAATTGTGAATATGCTTTTGTAATGATTTTCTCATAGGAAATGTGATACTATGGAATGTGTGAAAATTTCTTATTTTAGTGAAATTGTTCAGTGTTTCTTTTCAATTTTAGGTTTGTTCTTCTGTAACTTCAGCTAAGGTTTGAATATACGTCTAATCAACTGTGCTGTTCCTAAATTATGGGATAATTTCTTGCCTTTCATTTTCTCCCAGTAGAACCACCTTTGACTTTGGTGAATATCCAGAAATAGAAAAGAAGAGCATGGCAGCCTGGAAGAACTTGGATTTTAATAGAGGAAATATGGAACAGAATTAGGATTGGCAGATAGAAGTTTGGTTTCCTAATTCCACCCATCCGCTACCCATGTTTCACATTTACTGTGTGATATTAGATATGTAAAACAACCTCTAAGTTTATCTAACTGTTTATATTAGTTAGCTGCAAAACAGGATGCTTCCTAAACCCATCTCAGGTCCTGGAACAGAAAAGTGTCATGTGAATATTTTTTCAGTATCTACAGTAGCTGTGTGAGCCATTTTTTGCTCATTGTGTTGTTCTGGTTGCTCTTTCTGAAGTTGTCTTTTTTGCTAGAGACACAAGGTGTGGCAAAATGAAGGTTATATGTAGCATTAAAAAATGCAGGACTCTCCAGATAATTTATGTAAAATCTTTGCTGTAATTATGACATGTTTACCTGAAAGAGTCTCTTTTCCCCATCCTTTCCAGTTATTCCTGCACAACACTTGGTATTACTAAAACACACATGATAAATCTCAGAATGTCATTCCACACCATGGAAGTAATCTCCACTGTTGCAGGAGCAGTGGTGAGAAGGAGAGTAAATCAGACACATTCCCATGACAGCATTAAAAAGAAAGCCCCTTAAAAATGATGAATGTCCCCCAATACTTTCACAAAAGAACACCAGGCATAAAAAAGACATTTTTACAACTCCCCATCTCTGTTATCAGCACTGCAGGGAACTGCAGAATTTCCACAGGTACGGAGTCCTGGGAAATGGGGCAGAAATTGAGAAGCAGGTGTTAAATTATCACTGGAAAATACAGTGTTTGCCGGTTGTAGGGGTTTTATGCCCTATTAACTGTTCTGGGCTTCTGCCAGTGAGATTGCAGTGGTATGGAAACATGTTTTTTTATTCTGTGAAGTAGTTTTGCTACCTTACAATTAAGATGGCGTGATCATTTTTTAAGACCAAAATAGAAGTGCCATTAAAAATTCAGAAATGATGAAAACAAACATATGTAGGAAGGCAATGAACCTTTAAAAATTTACATTATATTGCTTTTGTTAGCTGATAAAGATACACATCCTTGAATCATCTATATCTTCTGCCCCCATATATATTACTTTCCCTATGCATACAATCAGACATATCCATATGTGAGATAAAAACAACATGGGAAGATAACTTTCCTGTTTCTTGATATCTGCATTCAGTGGTTAGGTATCAAATATTCTTCAGTATGAGATCATAAATCATTATATATATCAGACAATAGTAGATTCTCACATTCTCTTTTAAAGGCCAGTTGCATATGACCATATCCGTAGAAAATAGATATTGCTAAAATTACAACCTGCAAAACTCACATCACATTCCCTGGAAGATTATTGTGTCTCAGAAGTTGCTATAGTGAAACGTGGTAGAATTCTGGGTTTTGCAATAAAGTAAGGCATTAATATTTTTGTTTCTTTGGTTGGTTTTTTGGTTTTGTTTTGTTTTTATTCGTGAGAATCATAAATGGATAGATGGCTAAGCTAGAACAGTACTTTCTTCTTCTTAAAATAATGCTGATGAATATAATATTCCTCCTTGTCCTCTCTTATTCCATAAATATGTTTATGTGATGTTTTGGTGACTTACAGTGCCCTGAAAACTTGGGAGCTGATTGTATTGCCTAACTTTTATCCAAGTTATAAGTTGCTATTTCTCTTGGTTGCCTAGCTGAAAATGTGAGCATTTGTCGTGAGTATTGAAGATACAATTTTCTAGAAACTTGCAAATGCAACTTCCTTTTGCGATTTTAAATACTAGTACTTCACTTAAATATATTCAGAAAATGGTAGAAAAAAATGATACAAGCTCAATAAACCTCACCTTGAACTTTGAGACAACAAGAAATTTTTCTGCTTCAGAAATTGAAAATTGCAGGTGAAACTGTGTGAAGGCACAAAATTTTCTTTGTAGGAAATTCTGTGAATATTTTTGTTAGCTTCTAAAGACTATTAAAAAATTCATTTTAGCCTGGTGAATCTCATTTTCATAGTATTCATTTAGGAAAATCCTAGCATTTTAGTGAAATAAATTTCCTATAATTCACAGTGAATTAAATTCACTATGATAAATGTAGCCTTTGTGAATGCCAGTCTCTTCCTTCATCCATCAGATTTTCATCAAAATTTAGGGTAAAAAAAAGCAAAGCATAGATAGAGTAATTCAGTTTTCCCTGACTGTACATGAATATTATATAGTCATTATTTCTCACCATTTTGCATACAGATGGAGTAATCTGAATGCATCTTCATGTTAAGGAAATCTGGAAAGATTTTTCTGCCTTTGGTTGAAGATGTGGAATGTTACAGAAATTTCACTAATGCATTAAATTACTTTGTACTAAGCTGAATTTTAAGTTCAGTTTACACAGTGGCTCTGAATGTACATAAAGAGACAACACTAGTGTCAAACTGAGGCTTTACTTAATACTCTTTTTAGCACAAAGCGGCTATCTGTGACAGTTCATCACATGCATTCCCCATGCTGAGACCTCCTTTCCATTCACAAATTGGAGTAAAACACTTCAGTGTGGATGAGAGTCAGACCTCAAATCTCTGCATGTACAAGGGAATTGTAATTATATGTCTGAGCATCGAAATTCAATTGAGAACCTACAGAGTTAATTGTAAGTGGATAAAATTTGAGGAAAGATTGGATGACTGGTATTTAGTACAATTAGAAAAACCTGTAATTTTGTATGCAGTACTTCCTTAAACTGGAACATCTTGTTTGAGTTCAAGCTAAGCCTCTTATCAAATCCAAGCCAAGCACCAAAAAGCTCAGATATTCTGGCTTCAGCTAGCATAAATGCAAGAACCTTCCTCCTCTTCAGAGTGAACACATGGATTAGTATTCCAGTCTGTTTAGAGCAAGCTGTCCCAAACACCCTTGGATGTAATTCCTATAATTATAATGACTTTATTTTTCCTGTGTGCATTAATACTGACGTATCACTAAGTATATTGATTTTCTGGTGATTCAAACGTAGTACAATAAAAATAAACTACCACCAAAAAAAGAAAAGTCTAAACTGGAATATTTCTGTTATGGGTATGTAAAAGCTGTATTAAAAGCTGAATCCTTCAGAAGGTAGTACCAGCTTGGCTGCATTGTCATATATTCTTTTATGGAGGCTTTAAAATCATCATGCCAGATTTGTGATGCTAGCTGTCTTCCCTCTGGCAGACTCTTTTGTCTAAACTTGATGCTGAGGTAACCATCAAGTAACAATGCCTGTGATTTAGTGGGTTCTCTTATTTAAATTGCTGTTTTAGAACAGATTTATTGTGCTGCAAGGTTTGGGGGTTTTTTGTTTGTTTTAAACCCAGTGATTTTAGTTATTCCAGAGGGCAATAAACTAAGAAAATTAAGGCAACCATATTATTTCACACACTTCAGAGCATCTGTCAGATGTGGTTTTTTGGGTTTTTTTTTGTTTGGGGTTTGCTTTGTTTTGTTTTTTTTTTTTCTTAAAGCAGGTGTAAATAAGAAGAGACTATGTGATGAGAATTGATAGACATTATGCTTCTTAATTTTTGATCACTATGTAGCTCTTCAGAGAGAAGACTACCACTTCTAAAGGTGCTTTTCTAAAGCAGCAGAGATAGATCTGTTGATAAGAAGTGGCTAGGAGTTAGAATCATGCCAGTGGTTGTAATAATGGATGCCTAAGCAAGAAATAAGGAAGCGTTTCTATTTTAAAGCCTAAGGACAGCTACCTCCTGTAAAAACTACTAAGGAAAACAGTAGATTCTCCATTTCTTGATAACTTGAAATAGAGTCTGGATGCTGGGTTAGAGTCCAGGCTGGTAGGATAAGCTGTTAAACCCAATCTCCTGCAAACTTCTTGATACCCTTTCCACCACTGCTGTCTCCTTTTCTAAGGGCCAGAACTCTGGGGATGACTCCTGCAAGTAATTCAGGTGCAAATTCAGAATAATCCTCTGTCTCTGCGTCCACCAACACATGCACTTTCCACACCACCATCGGGTTTCCAGAGGGGTTTTATGTGAGGCATTTAAAGAAGAAAGGCTTCGATAACTCATTAAAGATGAACTATATTTCTTAGAAAAAATATTAAAAATAAAAATAATATTCTTCTGGTTAATTCCTATCTCCTTTGCAGGTTCAGTGAGTGAGAAGCTGCCACAACGAGAAGGTGCAGGAAAAACAGGTAAATATCTTAGCTGGCCTTTAAATGGAAAGTAAAATATCTGTGGAATACACCACTGTGATTTTCCATAGGTTTAAATTATCAATAGTTATTCATCATGTATTATAGCAACATATATACTATGTATACATGCATATATACTGTTTATTTTATATCTGCATTTTAGGTTTTTAGTAAAAGTATAAATGTATATATATATGTATGCATGTATTTGTCTATATATGCATAAACAGTATGTTTTTCCAGTCTCAGCCCTGCAGACTTTGCTGTTCTATGCTGTTGGGAAGATAACTTTTATTCCCATAGCTATACTCTGAAATACTTTCCCATAGTGTTTCCTTGCCCTGGAGGACAGATTATTCTGTCTGTTAGATAAAGACAGCATTCTGCAGTCCCAAAATCTTAGGAACTGGAGTCCTGACTTTATTTCCATAGCAATCAGTACTTGAGTCATCTTGGAACCCAGCACTTTTTTCTATATTGTGTTTAATTCATCAGATGGCTTACATTCATGGCCAGATGATTGTTGTTGTTAGAAATAGATCATGGTGTATATCTTGTTGGCAGGGCAAAATCTGATGAGACTCCAACATAGCTGGTAGGTTTAAGTGAGGGAGATGTCTATGCTTTAAACAAAATCAAAGCTTGTGCTCTCCAAACACCTAAAAGAATTTTAATTTCAACTGAAAATAGCATATTAAATGTAGATGTCAGTTACAATGGCATAAATTAATTTTAAAGAAGTTACTCATTTGTGCTAATGTTAATGACTGGTGCACTGTAAATGTAATTGAAATATTTTTTTTACAGGAACTTTTGCAGCATTGTTGTATACATGACATTTAAATAAACTGTTGTGCAGTTAGGTTAAGAAAATCAGTACTTCTTTAAAGGCTAATAATTACAAAGAACTGGAAAATAGTTCCTTCATGTGTTTCCAGGCAATTGTGGGTTCCACTAACCTTAAGTTACCCATTTGCTTTAGGTCAGGACTTTAATTTTCAGCTTTGAACTGAATGAACTGTCCCATGTATGAAACTTGTCTGGAATCCTTTATTTTTGTTTGTGACTTTGGCAGCTGAGCTGTTGAACCATAAATGATCAGTCACAGAACAAGGAACTTGAATGAACACAGTTTATCAAGTTTTCCTTCACATCACACATATTTGTGTCTAAAGTGACATGGTTGCATTTTACTCACACCCTGTTTTTATGCTGCTTTATGCTCTAGCACAAGTCTGCAGCATGGAGGGCCACTGACCTGGTTCCCATGCAGTCCTTGGCTCTTCTCAGATGCTGCTAACTTCCCCTCCCCACCCTTCCTCCCGTCAATCACATGCTTTAAAGAAAGTCATGTTGTCAGAGACATCACAACATCCTTAGGGACCATCATGGAGTAATGAATAGCATCAGCTGAGTGAGAACTGTGCTTCAGGTTCACAGTCAGTGTAGTAAAAAGTATTCAGTAGCTCAGCTTGAAAAGGCACAGCAGTAGTTTTTTGAAATAATCATAAAACTCCATGTTCATCTTTCCTCTGCACATTCCTGTGGACTAATCAGAGGAATCTGGGTGGAGGTACCTGACCATATTGTAAACAGCAAGTGTAGGCAGGTTCACAATGTTCTTACTGCTGTAAAGGACGTGTTCCAGACCTTCAAGTGTGAGGACTCTACTCAAGAGACAGCATAGACTTATCCTGCGACAGTCTCTTCTTCCAAGATGTTACACAGAGACTCAGAGGAGAAGATGACCTGGTGGGCCATATCTGTTGCTGTTGTTAACCTTACTTTCTCTATTTCAATACTGAAAGAAAATTTCCAGCTGCAGATTTTGGAGGTCAGTTTGCATGTTTGCGAATGTTCACATTAAACTCAGCAGGAGTAAAGCTTAAAAGGTAATTCCTAAAGTATCTTCCCTGGCCCCGAAGTTCTCTCCTCTAATCAAGGAAAATATTCAGACAATCTGAAAAGCACAGGTGTCAGAGATGGGATCACATCCCTTTTTTCTGATTCTTAGCTGACTGTAGGACTATGTTCTTGGTAACTGAACTCTTGACAGCAAACAGATGGTTTCTGTTTAAATATATGCACATATGGACTGGTGTGCATGTGCCAGCCACAAAGACCTATGCAATTAACCTGTGAGATACCTAATTAACATGAAGATGAACTGTGACCCTGTTGAATGTTGTTTTGAAGAACGAAATGCCACATGCATTGTCATTCTTAAAAGGGTTTTCTATGAAAAGATGGTGTACCTGACAGAGAATTAATGCAGGCGTCTTCCAGCAGATTAAGGGTAGTTCAGGACCTGAGGTAGTTATGGAGTGAATTTAATTACCTTTTAGATTATACAGATACCTTGTACCAAGTGTTTGATGCATTGATGATCAGAAGCAACCTCTTTATTCTTTTTGGGGGTGGGGAGCAACGTGAGGCCAGTTTTATGATTCAATTATTAAACATCTGTTGAATTTTTAAAAATAAAAATCGATAAACTGTTTTAAATGCTGCTTGAGCAGAGTTCAAGAGGCTAGCTTTGATTTGGCTGAAAATCACCAAAGTTGTAGCATTATATCTGAATTTCAGGTAATAACATAAGATCAGATGTGTCACCAACTGTGTACCAAAAGAGGATTAGAGAAATGTCATTTAAACTAAAAACTGAGTTCCTGGCTGGAGTCTTGGTAATATTTACCTACTGTAAGCTACCCTGTGAAATTCTGTTTTCTGAATCATGTGCTGATTGATGATCTAAATATATGTCTTGATTCTCAGTACACTAGGATACTTGATGGCCTGTCTAAAATTAATCAATGGTCTTATTCCACCACCCAGAGGACACCATGAAAATGCCAGCAAAACTAATGAGAAGTGACAGTTTGTTATGGTATTGGACCAAAGTAGCCTGTCATTGCACGGACAGGAAGAATGAGCACTCTTAAAAGAAGTCTCCTCATGCTTTGGTTAGAACATTTTGCAGTGAAAATAAGTTTCTGTTGCTGCTACTTTGGTTTTGTGAAAAGCATGGAGGTTAGTGTGCCATGGCTGAAAATTTGGTTTTACCTTCTAACTCTGTTTGCTGTGAACTAGGCTTCCAGAGTCCTCTGCATGATCTGCATAAAGAAAATAGAGATTTACAAAAAAACCCTGGGATGGTGATACCAAAGAGAGCAGGAAGAGGCTGTTCTGACTTGCAGTAGCAAGAAGAAATGGAAACAGATAGTGTGTTAGCATTAAAGCTGCTCCTCACTGTTACCCTGGTAGGCTACATGCAAGAGGAAGCTTCTCAGTTACCTTTGGTCTAGCTTTTGTGAAAATGCCAGGAAAACAATCTGGAAACTATGTTGGTCTGAGATCCAGTTGTGAAACTGCAAGAAATGCTGATAAAACCCTTGCATGGAAGATGCTGTTTATTGATGGACACTTTGGTGTTGGAGTAAGCTCCATGCTACAGGAAAAAGCAACGACTGGAAAGTATGTACTAGCCAAGGTCTACTAAGTCATATTTACCCAGTATCTGCAGTAATTTTAAATAACAAAGTCATAATAAGGTAAAGGTGGGTCTTTGGGTACTGTACTTTCTCACAATAAGCTAACTTAAATATTTTTTCATATTGAATTTTTCTTTTGCAGCATTACTTCCACTGTTATTTAGTGAACCTAAATTTACACACATCCTCTTATAATTTCTGTAAAATTTCCTCTCTCTTTTCTTGCAGTAGTAATTGGTAGTGGATGGATGGAGATAGCTGACTGGAGGACAAGAATTATGCAACGATATTCTGTTCTTTTAATCTGTGAATCTTGCTTATAAAATCAGTCAACTGTCAAATAGATCCTGCTGTGCTGAAAGAAACTTTCCTTTCATTTTTAAGGTGTCAACATGTCTGCAGCTGCTCATCTGCCCCAGACTGCTTTTGCTTTCACAGGTCTTACCCCTTCTATTTTTTATCTAATTACTGCCAGAAATGCTGATTTGCTCAGTTATAATCTATAGGTATCAATGTGCAGCTTTAAAAATGAAGAAGTACTGTCCAGGGAGCAGCATCACTTCATGCCTCATCAAAGACCCTGCAATCATTTCATCAGCCATAACCTCAAAAGACATCCATTTATACTTCAGAGTCTGTAGATGCAATATATCTATTCTGTGTAGTGCCTATAAATAATATTTAAATTATTGTTTGTTTACCGGCCGGGGCTATGTGCAAATCATTAGTATCAGTCACGTATGTACACTTATTTAGCTTACTCTCATAATTGTAGTCTCCTTGCAAATCTTTTCCATTCTGAATTCAGATGATGCCTCAGCTCCCGCGTTGGAGACTCAGCCTCAAGGTGATGAAGAAGGTGAGCCTCAACAGGAACTTAACAGTACCGTATTAAACTATGCAGTGCAGACTGCATATCACAACGTCAAATGCTACCTTAAGAGTTAGGGCAACTGCTGGGGCAGTTGCAAGAAATTGCAAACATCTGTACTTTTTTTCCAGATGAAGACAGCAAACAGAGTCTTTATTTACAGGCAGCAAATTTCATGTGATATTTTTGAGATGACACTGTAGCTACAGAGTCCAACATTAGCAATTTTAATTGTCAATGCTCAAGGCGCAGACAGGTTTTAAACTTGAGGCAGAGTGCAGATTTAAACTGAATGGCCAAGTAAGGACGCTAAAAGGTAAATTCTCTCTGCAACATATTGCCTCGTAATATTAAGGTTGATATTTTGTCAGGCTTATATACCTCTGGAGAAATTCAGTGCTTTGTAAATGGAAAGCTGAAGGCCTACATGCGGTGATAGTCCTGTATTGTGGCTGCCTCACTATTTACTGCAAATCTCACAGAATATGATCCAAAGTTATTACATATTTTGGGTGAACACAGGGAGATTTTTATTCTGATTAAACATAATTTTAGTCTAAAAGTATTTCTTTCAACCTTTTGCATGAATGGGATAAGGGAGAAACTATTCATGCCTTTGTATGAATAAAAGTTTTAAATGGTTTAATACAAACCAGTGTGTCCCTTTATTTTTCAGACCCATGTACATTCAAAACCAGCCACTTCCTATTTAGCTGCTAGTAACTTAAAAAAAAAATTGTAACATTTAAAAACTGTTTTTTTCCCCCCTAGATATAGCTTCTCGTTATCCTACATTATGGACTGAGCAAGTGAAGAGTAGACAAAACAAAACAAATAAAAGCTCAGGTAAGAAACTTAAATTGTCCTTACTTTGCAAAGTTCCCATGAAGAAATGCATTAAGCCTTGTTAAAACAAGGCATTTAAGTGAAAGCCATTTTAATAACCATTATGCTTCCACTGTCATCATATAATAGCAACTTAATGATAGGCATAGTAATGTAGACTATTTTGTAGACTCATGCATCCTGTGTTCCTTTTATATGGAGATATTTTTGGCCAGGCTTTACTAAGTGTGAATTGATACTACTCCACTGAAGTTTCTGGCTCACGTGTGTTTGCATCTGTGAGTGGATCTGACATTTGTTTTTTCATCCACTTTAATTTTCTGCCTCTTTGTTATCTACTTATATTTTATTTTTGTGGGGTGATGTGTAGCAAGAAGATGATTGGAAAATGACAGTGTTGGTTATGTGTATTTGATGGTATATCTTAGGAGGCAAACCCATCAGAAACCAGTTGTCTGTTAACAGGAAAGTGGAAAGACAGTGGTTTGGGTTTTTTTGCTGTATCACTCGTCTGTTATTTACAGCCTGATTGCCAGTTTAGTGTGAATTAATTACGTTGCCTTTTTTTGTAACTGTTGAATTTTGGATTTACTTTTTTCACCACTCTTCAGAATTGAGCTTTGTAAACCTAGACTAGGAATGTCAGGTGAATGTCCTGAGACAGAAACCTCTCAAATATTTGGATAGATTCAGTGCTTGGGTGGATTACAAGTTTTGATGCCTTCCTCACTGCTCCTTCCTTTCAGTGGAACAAACTTCAAAGAATCTTCTTGAGTTTCCTTGTCTCTTTTTCTCTGAAAAAATGTTTAATTTTAAAAGAAACATTAATGATACAGGCTATGATTCAGTAAGTCATGCAAAAACCTGCTTCAGATCCAGTGGAAACTGAGGTTGTGCTTTACATGAAGTACTGTGTTTAAGTATTTTACTGAATTGAGGCCCAAAAGGATTTAGAAAAGAGACACAATTATCATAAGACTCACTGACTTATCTTTACTAATAGGTTTACAGATTCCTTTATGTAAACTATTTGTAACATAAAAGCAATAATTATTAATACTTTTTCCAATCCTTGATTTTCCAGTAGGTGCGCAACCTTGAGCAGAGTGTAGGCAAGAGTTTGAAGCAAATACTTTCTGTGCTGGACACTTATTCTGTCATTTTACTCAGTGTTAGCAAGAACAGAATTCCTTTGGGATTTCAGTTGTGTAAAATGTATGTCTAGAAATATGTAATTTTTAGGGGTGTTAATTTAATTTTTATGGTGCTAGAGACTAGAACTAAAGCAAGAATTCTTGAGTTTGCCATGGAGCTGCTGGAAGCCAAATCTTTAACACTCACACACATAAATAAATCAGAAAAACACCAGAGAGAAGGTGGGTTTATTACTATGAACTTGTAACCTCCAGTCCATCTAAAGACACACTTACAAAGGAAGAGAAGATGGAAGCATAATCTGCCTGTCTTATGATTGTTAACCCATGGAGCATTAGCATCAAAGCCATGGTTGTGTTGGATTTGCTAACAACAGGACTTGCTCTACAACCATGCTATATACAGGGGATCTCTGGAGGGCTAGCATTTGCTGCAGTCTTTGGTGCCATACCTGAACTAGCAGAAGTCAGCAGACACTTTGTAGCCAGCCTTGCTTTAATTTGTAGGCATACCTGATGCACCAAAAGCAACCACTAGTCTCTCTTCTGTAACTTCTCTTGTATATGTAATATGGCATAATTGAGTTGAATCTAGGTGCCAGAAACAGTGTCCTCACCAGTTCTGCTAGGCAGCATCTCTCTTCCAGTCTCCAGAACATAATGTGTGTCAGTGACCATATATTTATAAGTTGTTTTGGTGGCTAAGCCTCATTGATATTTGGTAAACAGGTCTTTTTAAGGTCTAGGTTAGATTTTTTCCCTTATTAACTCTGAGTGGTGCCAAAGCTTTGGGAACATCCACAGAGAATGAAATCTGGGCTGCTATGTGTATGGAAAGACCTCACGACTGAATCCACTGGATTGTGAACTAACCACCTTTGGACACCCAGGCTTCGATATAAGGGATAAATACAGTTGTCTTCTTTACTCAGTTTGCTTAGCAAACTCTGATTCAGACCTGGTCATACAAACACCAGAAATCTTACTGGAATGCCTTTGTTGGAGTAAAATGAGGAGAATTTATGTCTCCGTATGAACTGCCTTTATAAATCAAAAGATGAAACCTAATTTATTCATAGTGGGATAAATTTTCCTTTGTTCTATAGTAACCCAAGTGCTTTTAAAGAAATTATTTGGGTGCAAATAACACTATGATCTAGCCCTGCTGGTAGAAAATAAGAAAAATAATAATGCTAAAACATTCAGGCAAAGTAAAAATATCCTACTTAAAACTGACTATTTTAGTCTTTATTGCTATTATCTTCTCTATTTTTTATCTGTCCTAGTATGTCATGGCCAACAAGTCACGATTATAAAGAAACTTGTCTTGTCCTGAGAAGTCAATCTCCTTACAAGAATGTTTTTATGAGTTAAGGATCATAAATGAATACATTAAATTTACTGTACTCATCCTGAAAAGGTTTGCTTTTGCTACTCTGTAAATGATCTGCCAGTTACAATTAGCCAGTGAAGTCAGCATAAGCTTTTAGGTTTTGGAACATAGAAAATAATGGCTTAGGAAATTCTAGTTTATATTAGTTACCCAGTGCTTTCATTTGATTAAATCAGACTAAATTAATTATCACAGAGTAATGGCATTTAGGAGACTTAGAGATGCAGGGCATGAAATTGCTGGATTATGTATCCATGTTCTATAATGACTTCTAGTGTATATTCTTTTTGTTGGTTCAGAGAAATAGGTCTTTGCTGCTCATTAAAGACACATGTAGAGTGCAATTAAATGTATTAACTTTTGATGATCAAATGTTACTGATGGCAAAACCCCCCATCAACACTGGGTCATGCAACAATACCCCTGTTTAGAGTGGTGGATTTGAGCTCCCCCTCTGCTTGACCCTGGTGAGGCCACATCTGGAGTACTGTGTCCAGTTCTGGGCTCCTCAGTACCAGAAAGACAAGGAGCTACTGGAAAGGGTCCAGCAGAGGGCCACAAGGATGATCAGGGGTTTGGAGCATCTTTCTTATGAGGAGAGATGGCGGGAGCTGCACCTGTTTAGTCTAAAGAAGAGAAGACTGAGAGGGGATCTTATTAATGCAGATCAATACCTCAAAGGCGAGTGCCAGGAGGATGATGCCAGACTCTTTTCAGTGGTGCCCAGAGACAGGATGAGAAGTAATGGACATAAACTAAAACACAGGAAGTTTCACCTCAACATGAGGAAGAAGTTCTTTACACTGAAGGTGACAGAGCACTGGAACAGGCTGATCAGGGAGGTTGTGGAGTCTCCCTCTCTGAAGACATTCAGAACTCATCTGGATATGTTCCTGTGTAACCTGCTCTAGGTGACCCTGCTTTGACAGGGGGGTCGGACTAGATGATCTGCAGAGGTCCCTTCCAACCCTAACGATTCTATGATATCCATTTGAGCTCTTTTTGTATGTTGAAGATGATTTTCAAAATTTTTAAAAACTTTTTCTTCCCAGAATTAGAAAAACAGTATGCATCTGGTTGCTAAAATAACACACTGTTTGCTGAGATTGTTTTATACATATGCCGTGGTGCCTTTGCAGGTATTTTGTGATTTGTTTTGTTTTGTTTCTTTCAGGTTTTTTTTTAAGCCCACAATCCTCCTTTCTTTAATTTCACAGAAAATATTGTGGGTTTGCCACATCATATTAACAGAAATAAGAATTACAGCAACAGCTGTCAAACACAGAAAAGTGCATTGAAAACACTCAGCATGGGACTATATGGCTTCTGATTAAGACATTATAGCAGCCTACACACTGCTGCCTGTATGTGAACTTGATGTCTAAACTCCTGCTGTAGTTTGTGGAGGTGAGGGCAAGTGGAGCGTAGAGAGCAGCCCACCTCATCGTAAAGTCAACATCTGCACTTGGCCAGCGAACTAGGTAGCTGGACCTCACTGAGTGTGGTGACTAGTTTAGATCTCTAGGTGATGTGAAGGTATCTATCCTGTAGATAAATAAACTATCCCACCCCCAGCATTAGTTGAAAGTCCAGCTAGTATTCTTTTAGAGCTTGTCTATTTTACAAAGACCAGAGGACAGAAGGTTTTTTGCCTTGAAGAGACTGGATATCTTGGACTATGTACTCAGTAGCTGCCAGTTATTGTGGCTTCAGGGCTAGGTGTAACTTTCATGTGGGTGGAGACCACGACCTGACAGTACAGATACTTGACTTTGATTCATGTGTTGAATTTTAAACACATGAAATGAGTGGATAGAAACTTAGGGCCCCTTGCAGTCAATGGCAGAACTCCCAGACAGTGTTTAAACAGCCATTCATACTCTGACTACATGCTACTTGTTCACACAATAGTTCACATTTCATCTGGATCAAGCAGAGACACGTGATGTAGTGCTTTGTGCCAGCTTCGTGCTCTTTGCCAGCTTTATGCTTTAAGCAGGTGCTGGAGGACAAACTATACATGATCCAGCAAAATACAGGGTCAGCCCAGAGGAAGACTTTCTGGCGTAAAGGCTGCCAAGGCAGGGTCAAACTGTTAAAATGCTTAACACATCCATGCAACAAGTAGTGGATCATGTGATTATGACAAAGAATCCTAAATCAGAATTCATTGTCTCAAACGATGGCTTTGGTGACTATGAGAGTGCCCAGACGTCAGCCAATTATGGTAGTATAGAATCATCTTCAGTCTCATTTTTTGCTTTGACTCTGCGCACATGAAAGGAACACGTAGCTTTTTATTTAATTTTCTGACACAACAGAGTAGTGGTTTATTGCTGCCATTTTAGTACAGATCGTCAGTTTCAGGGCTTTAAAACTGTTAAAAGATTTTATCAATTAGCCCCAGGGAGCTCAATCTAACAGGAGTTTCATTCTCAAAATGCCATCTGGGA